CCAGTTATTTGCGCGAGTTATTATCGCTCGTTAAGAGTCGGCATTCGAGAAGCGCGTTTAACAATTTGCTCGCCACCCCCTTAGCCGGCGCAGCGCGGCTCTCGCCCTCCTTTTCAGACTCCATTTGTTTCTTTAATTCACCGCTCCGCTTTTTACCCGCCGATTTGTGAGCTCTGCGCGGTATTATCGGCGGATTCCTCCCAACCGAGCGAGAATTTCATCGCTTTCACCGTTTCCACATTCCTTATTATCCGTTTTACGCGGATCTAATATAGACGCGAAACAAATGGTGGCTTACTTATAAACTCAGCCTTCATTAATTCGCGAACAATAGGTTTGTTTTCTGTGGCTGGACTAGTATACACTTTTGGAACTTAAAGTGAAATAGGTATAATAAATGTCTGACGTATGTTTGACGAACTTTATATTGAATTATTCCGGTTTTTATTCCGGCACTAAACTGCATTGAAACTCTCTTTCTCACTTTTGCCAAATGTCAAACATTTATCTCACTTTAACTTGGGCAGGAAATTTGGTCACTTGCATCAGATTGGTGGATACTAAAAAGCTGCGACACGTAAAATTAACGAAATTACATGTAAAAGCATGTAGATATTTTAAACGATTTCATACCCTACGGCCATCGTCACATTATTGAACAGAGTATATGTACATGTATTATTCCAGTGTCAAAATTGATTATATTACGCCACTGCATTTGGTACTTTATGTAAAGCAGCTTTTAATGTGCACTGATCCAGTGTATTACAGTGCGAGTGACCGAATTTACTATTATAGTACAATACACACAATAATACGAGCGCCCCCGTGTGTGTGTATTACGTGTGTACATATATTACGTATGTGGAGAATAGATTCTCTTTCAAACAAGGAAAGGCCCATTTATGACGGGCGCGCGTAGATAGATACGAGAAATGGCTCGCGATTCTCGCGCCAGGCCCATTTTCGAAAGTCAATCGACCGTAAGCCCCCTTTTCGTCGATCGCACACGATCGTAAATCTCCCTCGTAACCCTCCGGGTGTGTGTCGCCCGACGCGCCGAATTAGCGTCGATGAGAAATTTTTGACAACCGACGTTTCCCTAACGTATGTACCTTCCTATCGCGATCGAAAGCTACATCCGCGCTTCTATTTGATAATCTCTATCAACGTTTTCATCGTCGGATATAATCGACGGTATTTCCTTTTCCGCCCTTGTCAGAAAATTCAACAAAAGTTTTACATGTAAAAACAGTTCTGTACGTTATACAAGATAAAAAAAATCCTTTGTGCAAGATAAAAAAAAAACACTTTTTACAGTCACCTAGTAAGTAATTAGATTTGATATAACATGATTTAAGTAATAATTAAAAAGCTACAGCTTTAGATGTCGAATGCTTGAAAAAATTTGTTTTCTTTTAAAATCATTAATTATTCTGAATACTAAATTAAATTAAAATTAAAAAAATATATATATATACTTTCTTGGATAAATTATACGTGTTATATTATACGTTACGTTATATCTTTCATTTGTATTATCTTAGTATCTATTTCCTACGTCTTATTTCTAAATTCTACCTCTTCCTTGAAGACGACAGAGTTTCTATCCGAGAAAAATTAAGGCGTGGCGCTCCACTCTAAATGTCACCTTCGGATACGGCATTCGCGCGCGGCGGTCGCGGGAATATAAAATATCTGCGCAAGGGAACACACCATCCTGGCGTTCCTCTCGAGTATCCCGCACCGACGTGTGTGACTGCCTTGTCACTGACACAATGAGTCGAAGATTATCTACGATGGGATTCGCTGACGTTACGACGCTTGTGGCCAACCCCCTGTACTCGTCCTCCGCCTCCCCGTCGCTCTCCCTTCGTCGAGTCTGGAAAGAAAGAAAGAAAGAAAGAAAGAAAGAAAGAAAGAAAGAAAGAAAGAGCTTACCCGCGGTCTTCTCCTCTCCTCTTGGGTTTCCGGGGTAAGTCTCCGCGGACGAGAGGAGGGAAAATACATGATCTATGGTGACAGCGGTATTGTTCGCCGAAATGCGAAAAAGTCTCCGGAGGCGGTGGAGCGTTTGAATTTTCCACACCCCTTACGCAAACGTCGTGCTCGTGGAAGGAGGAAGAATCAGGGAAAAAGAAGAGAGCAAAAAGGAAGAAATAATAATTCAGAAGAAAGACAATTTGTTGTTATCGTAACTTGTTGCTAGCTGCAATCTGTTGCATCGCAATTTGTTGTTACCCAGTTCTCGAAACTGTTAAGCAAAGGATAACCGTACAACTTTTGTCGTTTGCAGGACACAGCGGGGTAAACCAGCTGGGGGGTGTCTTCGTCGGCGGTCGGCCACTTCCGGACTCAACACGGCAAAAGATCGTCGAGCTTGCACATTCGGGCGCACGGCCATGTGACATCTCCAGGATACTACAGGTCAGCAACGGCTGTGTCTCCAAGATCCTCGGCAGGTTGGTTGCAATATTGCTTGCTCCGTTTGGTGCTCCGCGTTCTTAAATCCGATTAAATCCGTTGTATATCTTAAGCGACGTCTACAATGAGATTTTAAGGCGTAAAATTCGGCGTAAAATTTACACTGAGAAAAATGTTCTAATTAAACCAACGAAAAGATCCAACCAAAATGTCATTGTGGTTGGACCTTTTTGTCGGTTTAACTAGAAGAAATTGACTGATCACAGTTGAAGGAGAATAATTAATTATGATAAATTTTTTTACTACTTTAAGACTTAAAGTTGAAATTTTATGCTTTGAAATTTCATTGTAGACATTACTTTAAGTAAGTTGAGCAATTATGTCGTCAATTGAGAAACTTGTTTCAAATCTCGCAGTTCTGCATGAAATATGAGCCTGCATGTCGGTTTGTTTTGCATTATAAATCGAGTAGGAGTCGATGTAGCTTTTGTAAATTTCAATTAAAAGAACATTACACAAAATTACAATCGAGCCTGAGTCAAGAGCTAAGAGAAAGGCAGAAGTGAGCCTAATCAAAGATTTGACTAAACATCAGCATGAGAGGCAATCAAGGTATATTGTTCAATACCGGCTCTGCATTTATTATTCGAGTGTATTTAGGCTATCATAACATGCTTAAAGAGATAGACGTATAATATGTTTCATTTTCAATAGCGACCCGAGCGTTTCCACGTATTCCTACCGCATTGTACCGCAAATTATTATTGTTGTAGGTACTATGAGACCGGATCTATAAGGCCCAGGGCCATAGGCGGCAGCAAACCGCGCGTGGCAACGGCAGAGGTCGTCAGTAAGATCTCCCTCTACAAAAGTGAGTGCCCGTCCATCTTCGCGTGGGAGATTCGAGATCGCTTGTTGCAGGAGGGAGTGTGCACGAACGACAACATCCCGAGTGTAAGTACGACCTACATTTCCATCCAATTATTTCTCTTACCGTTATTCGAATAAGAAACCAGAAATTGTAGTGCGTCCAGTAGACGACCATTCTATCATTACTGTGGCCAATAGACAGAATTATAATAATATAACTGGAGTAGTATTTATCTGCATGGGTCCCAAATACACAAGCTGGGTCATAATTATTACACGAGAATAACCAAAAAAGAAAAAAAGTATATTTTTTTCTTCATAAACAACGTGTGAAAATTAAATTTAATTAAAAAAATGAAAGACTAGTTTCTTTCCTTAAAACTATTTCAACTGTCAAAATTTCTGTTTACTAAATCTGCGGAAAGGGTGATAAAGTTGATGCAAAATGTGTTTCAATTTAATAAAAGCGCGTCACTTTTTATATCAGCCGCGAATAGTAAATGACCGGACAGTAAATGAAGATTAAGTAGCGAAGGTTTCGCCAAACGTCAGATCCTGGTTAATCCAGTAGTTAAAGTTCATGGGTGTCAACCGATTACAATCTAACGAAAATGACAGAAGTTTTCGTGGAGGAATCGATGTTGCGCGGCAGCGACGGTGGCGGCGGTGCTGGCGACGACAACAATACAAAGCGCGTCGCAAAACAGCCGTAATGGAGCCTGACTTTCGGCTCGGCGGGTGGAGGTTGTAAACGCGCAGGCGTATTGTCGACGGGGGCTTTGTCTACTCACACAAAACAGGACCGCATTTACATAGATAGCGCGAGTCGCGGCACGGGGGGATGGAAATCAGTTTTCTGTGGGGTGGCGGCTGGTTGTACCGAGGATGTTTATGCGAGCCGATGGACTCGGGTGGGCGCGCGCGACCAGGACGTTGTACAAACTCCTCCCCTTGTCGCAGCGCGGCCGATGTTGTTAACACGAAGCGGTTAATCGCGCAAACGAATGACGGACGATTTGGCGTTAACCGGTTCCGCCCCGATGAGCCGTTGCTCCCCCAACACGAGTCGTTCTTCCGGTCTCGCGATCGCACTCCACGTGGTCCGATAGAACGTGTATCATTAAAGTTAGAGACCCTCTAATAAGAGTCTGAACATGAGAAAGTGACTTTTGATTGATCCGCCGTGTTTTAACAATTGCTGAGAGAGAGAGAGGAAGAAAGAGAGAAATAGATAAGAAAAAGATAGAACGGAATGAGAAAGATAAACAAATAGAAAATCCATGTCCTTCTCTCTCGTAGATTTTTGGTAAAACTACCGTCCTAACATAGAAAACTATGGTTCGTGTCTAGATTCTGATTGGAGGATCTCTAGAAGTTAACTGAAGTTAACGTGCCTCTGATCAATTATAACATGGACAGCAGATGATTGATAACATTCTTCTCTTTTTTGAAAATCTTCGATTTTCAGAACATCTTAATAGTTTAAAGAAATTGTTTTTGCTGCGACATCACTCGAGTTGTTAATTTTCGCTAGGCGAATAAATCAGGATAAAGACAGACGAAATGAAGTAAATTCATGGAAAATTGGATGAAGAATAAAGTTTCTTTATCCAATTGCATCTCCAAGTTTCAACTCATTGATTTCTAATCATTTACAGTTGAAAATTTTATTATCTATAACTGAATATCTTTGTTAAGAAAGTAATCGAATTTCTCAGATTTCTATTACCACTACATTCAAGAGATTTAGATTATATTGTCAGATGTAATGACTAGCGGAAACACGTACGTTTGATAACAGCTGAAAAAGTATCCAGAGACCGAAAAGAATACCAATTCCTGCAGAATCAATTAAGAGATTGCTTGAAGATGGGCGACGCGCGGATCAAAAGGAAATTCCCTGACATTCTCTTTCTCGCTCTTTTTTCTATTTTTCTTCCTTCGACCTGGAATATCTCCGTGTACACACCCCTCGCGCGTTCGGCGTTCTCGACGGTGCGGCGCGGCGGGGTTGGTTCTTCCCGTATTCCCGTATACGGCACGGTACCGCCGTTGCCATGGATATTTGCATGCGTCCAATAAACGGTGGCTAAGGGGCTCTCGACTCGCTTAGGGTAAAAAGCGAAAGAGGGTCGCTAAATTCTCTCTCTCCCACGTCACCCCGCGCCATCTCTCTTCTCGTCTGCCGCGGCGTCTCCTTCTCGTTCTCGTCTCGTCTTCCCTTCCCGAAGCTGGCTGACTTGCTCCCTCGCGCCTTCGTAATATCTGCGCCGAGGTGTACACGAGTCACCCTCGCAGAAAGACTACGAAAGAAAGTCTCTGGTTGGAGGGCAAGGAGGACAGAAAGGATGACGGTAGAACCGAGAGAGCATTCTTATCGACGCGAGAAAAAAAATGTCAAAGGCTCGCTCTTACCCGTGAAAGAAAGCCGTCGAGAGTTCATCCGCAGCTTTTTCTGTGTAGCACGCCTCCCCCTTCCGAAAAATTTTAGTATCCACGCCGAGGAAGATAGAGTAAAGCGATTCGTGTGAAACAATTCGCGAAAGTAGTGACATTGCTTTATCATCATGGAAGCAAGTCTTTCGTAATATAATGTTTAACATGGAGTATAAAACTGTTATTGAGTATCAATAAATTGTGACTGACTTCGTGGCCATTTTGAATAATGGATGTAACAAGGAAGATATTAATAGACAGAAGAAATAATTAGAAGAAAAATAAGAAATTAATATAATTAATATAAAAAACACTTTTTGAAGAACAAAAATTTTCTTCTAAATCTTTTCCCATTTCGTAGATTTATGTCATTTTCTTCACTCATTAATTATTTTAACAAATACAATATTTACTATTCTAAAATTCTATTGACGGAATCACAGTTCTTTCAACTATTAATGTAAAAAGGAAAAGTGGGATGAAAAATGGCAGGAAAAACGATCAATTTAATATTAAATAACAAGTATGTTTTACGGCAGGTCGTCAAAGGAGCCGCGTGACTTTTAAGCGGTAACGAGACGCCAGCACAAACAGCGACGTCATAGAATTTCGCGTTTTAACAAATTACAGGAGGCTGCGGACTCCGGTGCGCGCCTTCGGGGCGTTGGAGGATCAAAGCCAGCGCGTAATCCCGGCCGCGTTTGAGCATCCTGCGAGCGCTTCTGAACTTGTTGTGGGCAAGATTAACGTTTCTTTAATGGTCCGTGTAATATTCCATTACGTACAGTTCGCTCGAGAATTATTGCGCTCACGTTAAGGCGAAACGAGGCGTCGAACGAGCGAAACGACGAACGGTCAAAAGGAATTCCGGCCTCGGAATTCAAAGTCTCTCCCGATATTTCGTCGTTTTTCATCGTTTGTCGTTTGGAAGTGGATTATAGTGGATGCATTTTATTGCAATGGAATCAGCACGTGTAAGAATGAATAAAATTCAAGAATTGTGTTATCTGAAAAGTCGAAAATCAGAAACTCTTACAAAATCAACTCTTTGCATTCGCGAATGTACATAGAATCTATTTATTTTTTTTTTTTAATCTTCTGAGAAATAGAGGTATATTAATACATTTGTCTTTGCAGCATTTGACGTATACATAATAAGACAAATATACTTTCACGCGACTTACGCCTACTTAATTACATACTGTTTTCGTGAAACTCATTTTTGAAATTAGAAGAATTTTGAAACGATTCATCATGATAGTTCTAAACTTTTATCGCGTTACATAATGTTGTAATAACGTTGCGGGAGTGCGTAGAATTTTCGCAACTGTCGTCGCATTCCAAAACTTTTGACCAGAATCCATTTCTTGAGCGGAAGCACTCGAGGATCCCTCGATTCTTCTTCGATGGGGAGCGAAATAACTCGCGAACGGGATTGATTCGAAAACGTTTCTACTCATTTTCTCTGGTCTGCCTGTACATGTCTATTCGTGTGGGTGTAGTAGACGATGGAAGACCTCAGTTCGACGGAGAGAGGAGGGGAAAAAAGGAGAGAGAGAGAGAGAGAGAGAGAGAGAGAGAGAGAGAGAGAGAGAGAGAAGACAGGAATGAAGGAACGTATTCTAGGCGAACCGTGGTGATTGGGGGAAATTTCATTATTCTCAGACATTACCCCCGTTATTGTAATGCCATCAAATTGGATACGCTTCGTACACTCTGTGGAACGGGCGAATATCTCGGTCTCCTTTCTCTCGCGAGTCTCTTCCTTCTTCCGCTTCCTTCACGAAGACGCTGAAACGAGGCTCGTCTTGTTGCGGACTTCTTCACCTTGCCCTAATAACTTTATTCGGTATATACGTATATCTTATCCGACCTATAGTTAGATAAAATAGGAAGACATACACTTCACGTATTTCAAACTTCTTGCTTGTACTCGGTTCTCTATCAATCGTTACAACACACCGTTATGGAGACATTGTTGATCTACGTGCGAAAAAAAAATTCGTTACATGAATCTATTTCAGTTAATAAGACTTTTCCTAAAATTGTATTTCTTTGCTTTTATTGAAGATATGTGATCGCAATTAATCTGTCATCCATAACATCAAAATTTCTTATGGTAAATATATAGTAATACATAGTCTCAAGTTTGTCGCGTTATATAAATTACTCTTTCTACACTCCTGATGTTTACAATTTTTACTCTATATACCTATAATAATTACAAAAATTTGAAAAGTTTTACTCGTTAGTTATTATTTAAATCCATATTTAATGTCAATGATAAATTTTTAGATTTTTATTTGACGATACTTTCGCTTCTAAATCTCTTCAACGATCCACAGGAAGTGTCGTTCGCATTTTCCATCCCGGCCGCGAGTGTCGCAGTGGCCAGATTAAATAGATTACGCGAAAGCAACAGTTTTGCATGTGCGAAATTGTGTAGGCGACCGATCGCATTCGTTCTCTTTCGCGAGAAAGTCGAACGCGCGCAGAATTGCCGAATCGAGCCAATGGCTCGACAAACCAGTAAAGCCCGCAGGACGCGGAGACGGATTCGAAATGTCCTGCGGAGCCCCCGCTATCCGTTTCGTCGTGGAATACCGTTTCGGTCCCTGCCGGATTTGAATCTGGCACCCGGCGTGGCG